CGGTTTGCAAGATACAGCGATATTCGTCAGAAGATCAACAATTTTTAGAGTATATCTCGGAAACCGTTGGTCCAATCGCTTTGAGCCCTGATACTTTTCGACAGAACTCGCCGAGAACTGTCCAGAACTCCGATCAGAACTACTCGGTACTCCCAAAAAATTTTGACTTCAAATTTTTTTCTAAGTCCCACGTCGGAAAATTTTTTGAGAGTACCGAGTAGTTCTGATCGGAGTTCTGGACAGTTCTCGGCGAGTTCTGTCGAAAAGTATCAGGGCTCAAAGCGATTGGACCAACGGTTTCCGAGATATACTCTAAAAATTGTTGATCTTCCGACGAATATCGCTGTATCTTGCAAACCGTTGGTCCAATCGCTTTTTCACCTTACAGTTTTCGATAGAACTCGTCGAGAACTATAAGAAACGCTACTCAGAACTACTCAGTACTCTCAAAAAATTTTTAATTTTTTTTTTATTATTCGAAAATTTTTTTTACATATCAGGAATTCTAGGCAATCGCAAATTGAAACTATTAAGCCGCTCAGAACTATTCCACCTCGAAATTCGATAAAAAGTTAGCACCCCATTTTTTAAAAATGTAAAAAAAATGTTTATTGAGCGAAACTCTTGTTATTAACTATAGGGAACTCTTCGTCTCGCCAAAAGTAAGTGGGAACTCTAATCAGAACTCCTGAGTATTATAGTTGGGGTGCTAACTTAACATTCCCCATTTCGATTCGAGAAATATCGTCTCGGAACATTTCAAGTGTCATTTCAAGTAACATTTCCGAAATTATCATATATCGTTTATTTTGCTCGTCTAGTCTCGTTTCAAAAAAATCAGAGAAATATCGAAAATAATATACTGCTTGGTAATTAAATGAATATGATAAATAAATAATAAGAGATAATCGATATTTTCGAATATCACGGTATAAAATTCGAGAATCTCGAGAAATGAGAATATTGGTGTATCACGGTGAGAAAATTTTATCAATCACTCGTTTTTGTCGAGAATATAGCCCAATTATAAGACACAATGCGAGAGAATAGCGATAGCGATAAGTTTCAAATTATCAGAAATCGAATACACCGGAATACACTTTTTTGATAGGTTGAAACTTATCGCTATCGCTATTCCCTTGCATTGTGTCTTGGGCTTATGTCTCGATATCAGTATTTTCTCGTCTCGTTTCGCTCGAATGCATCATTAGACTAATCTTTGATAAGTAAGATTATAAACGCGCTACTTAATACTTTACAAACTATGATTAGATATTTTATGTCAGTTATGATTTAAAGATACCAATGTGTATACAACTCTCGTTCTTTATTTATTCTTGTTGTTTTCGCTCAGATACCACATTATCGTATTAATTTTCTATTTATATTGCAAAATCAAAGTATAATAGTACAATATTTTTATATTATAATGTAAAACACAATAATTTGAACAATTAATTCGAAATGAAAAGGTTTATTATTTCTTTAATCCTAAATTATATTATTAATAATATACAAAATAATAATAATTTAATTTAAGAGATTAAAGAAACAATAAAACTTTTTATTTTGAATTTAAATTAATGAAAAAGTTAAATTAATACATTGTGTAGAATATTGTATGCTAGAAATTAATACCAAAGAGAAAATATCCAACAGTGCTGATGTTAGTGCTAATATTACGGAAATCCCTTGAAACGATTATTGTCTATAATGATGATCGTGACAGCCATGTCCCAGTTGCTTCGCTTGCGGACCACGTGCATTCTATTGTTCCTTTCGTTGGAAAGACCTTACCTAAGATATATCCTGTCATTTTTCTTTAATGAAGATCTATGGACGGCGCGATTGAAAATCTGACATGCAAATGCAATTTTACATTAAATTATTACAAAAACTTGCAATAATTTAAGAAAAAATATATAACGATTTTCATTACATTAATAATATAAGATTCTTGAGTGTTTTTCAATTATCTCACATTATTCTTTGGGTGTGTAGATATATTCTAGAGATTTTAACTAAAATAAAAAATTCCATGAATTATATCGAGATTTCGATAAGTTAAAGTGCTAAACGTGATTACTATAGTATACGAATTATGAATCGTGTATAATTTAACGCTAGCTTTACATGCACGTTAGCTTTCTTTTCAAAGTAAATCTTTCAGGTATTTTCCTACTGTAATATGTTTCATTTTTTTCAACTATTAAAAGATCATATGATTTTACTTTTTGTACAACAATGTAAATAAATAAAAATCAAATAATAAAATAATTCAATTTTTAATTATATTAAGAGAAGATTATAAATTAGAATGTTTTTTTTTTAATATTTAGAGAGAGATTTAACATTAGATTTTCAATTATTTTTTTCTTTTAAAATAAAATAATCGATAAATTAATGTTTTCAAATTTTTATTTAAAAAAATATAAGAAATGTGACAAAGTAAAATTAGCTAAATAAAAATTAATATTTTTAAGCTATAAATATAAATACTTTAATTAACTATCGCAATAGTGTTTTATAAGTTTTATTTATTATATATAGTGTAGATTAGAAAGTTAAGCTTTTTTCTATAAATTGTTATTTCTACAAATACTTAAACATTATCTACAATAATGGTGAAATTTAAATTAATGAATAGCCTTGTATTTCATATTCATTACACATATAGGTATATCTTATTTTATTTTTAACTCGATAAAAATGCAATCGCAAACCCTCCCTTTTTTTATTTAATATTCATGTATTTTTCACTCAATCGTGCACGTAATATACATAGGTACAACGCAAAAATGTTAAATATATTCGCTCAAGATCCATCATTATGAATTTGTTCTATAGTAATTATAAAATATTTATCGGTCAGATTTTAATAAGAATGATCAGAAGGTATTCTTTGTTTTTAATAAGAATTGTTTCTTATTCACAATTAATTTAAGTATTTTGCATAATTATATTATTGTTGTTTTTGATAACGCAAATTCAGCACGGATGTAACAATATTTTATATACATAATTCAAAATACATATACATAAAGCAATAAAAAAGACATCAACAACTTTTTATGATAGTTTGATGACGTCATTATACGTAATTATTATTAATTACATATTCTTTTTAAGATGTTTGTAATATTCTTTTTATTTTTTTCTCTATATTAGAAAAATATAAATTAACGGAGATAATGGATCCCTCTGTCTAATTCCGCGGCCAAAAAGAAGACAAATCTCCTCCGAATATTCTCCATTTATTTTATCTTCAATATTTATCAAATTTTATCTTTAATTTTATCTTCAAACGTACTTAGAGTACAAAGTACGTAAATAATCACATTCGAAAATAGTCGCTTCGTTTCAGAACATATAGTTTTAGAGTTTTACGCTTATAAGATATGGTCCTAAAGATTACGCAGATTTTATCGGACGAATAAATCGTTTCGATCAAACTATTTTTATTCAATGATTTCAGTTCAGGATGTAGGTATTTGGTCGATGAGATTCTTTCATGCCGTCGATAGACGCTGCTTTATCCTTTAAATTCAGTTGAGAAAGTTGCCGGGATCATGATTTCCTGTGTTGGTCGCTGTGTAGGTCGCACTGGGATCCTTTTACTCTCATACCATATATCTCACGATTCTTCCCGTATATTCACAACGATTAGATGTCTCCGAACTGATTTCGCATCCGCAACGTGATCATTTTTCGATGCAATCGGATAGTTAATTACAGCTCGATTTCCTGATGGCGCGCCGACAATTTCGATGAGGAAATTTCAACGAGCTGCTAAAATTACTCCTTGTAAGTTTTCGACATAAAATTTGCAATTTATTGATAATTTATCGTCTATTTGAGTGAAGTTAAATCCAATTCGTTGGATGATCGTAAAAAATATTATCGTTTTAAATATGTCACTAATCTGATTTTTTTTTTAATCAAGAGAGTTCGAAAGAAGATTTCGTTATTGTTGACTAATCTGATATCTTTATAATTTTATATATAATTATTTTTTATACATGAAAAATGTAACAATACATATAAATAATAAAAATATCAAAATTTCTTATATATTTATATATATGTATAAAGATATTTGTATAAATATTTTTACATAAAAATATTTATTTATTAGAATTATAATTTAATGATTAACTTTACCATGATGATTTGTTGTTAAAATATTTAAAAGAAATAATTTAGAATTAAGAAAAGAACTTGAAAATTTGGAGTTTCGAAGAATCGAAAGAGTGAACATCTGGTTATTTGGGAGAAAGAAATGTTCTGAGAATTAGCCTTATTTCGGCTAATTATTACATCCGGCTGTAATAGATAACGAGTCAAAGAGTTTCTTTAATCATTCAGACCTAATATCTCGTAAGAGATATGATAGATTAGAAAATAAAATTCTCGTACGAAAAACGTTAATTCTTAAATATAATAAAATATGTGACGTACGTTTAGATCGCCTCATTTTTTGAAATATTAAGAAATATTGTAGCCTACACACATACAGAATATTTAAATGGATAAAAACTGGTTTTTTTTCTTTATCATTTATTGAATTATTCAAGAAAATAAAAATCATTTTCTAAAATATACTTTTGCGTTCATTATATCATCGTCGTGACTCCCTATAAAGGATTCTCACACATCTACTGATGTCTACCCTTCAACACAACAAAGACATCATCTCTTATCCGAACTTTGTCGGTGTAGACGCTGTTTTCTCATGACTTCCCATATGTTCCCCAATACCCTTGGATCCCGGAGGAATCTCCCTTCCCATCAGAGTCATGTTAGTTGACCAATCGACCACCCCTCTCTCTCTCTCTCTCTCTCTCTCTCTCTCTCTCTCTTCTCTCTCTCTCTCTCTCTCTCTCTCTCTCTATCTCTCACTCTCTTCGAGCTCCCCTCTCGATTCTCGAACGGCCCCCTAGTCGAAGACTTCGTCTGGCGTCTGGCTGGCGGCAGTTGGAAGCGAGACGCCGACACGATATACGACGAGTATTTTTGTCCCGAATTTATCGAATCCCGGAATGTAATTTAATTTTTCATTATCGCGTTTCTCATGTTACTATACATAGACAATTTTATGAAGTAAATCTGCAGTCTCTTGAAATAAATAATTGCCGCGGTTGTGTCGGGTTAAACGAGAGGTAAGGTTTGGAGTACGAGAATGTGCCGGCTACTGATGTAGAGGTGCGCGTAACAAGTCCTTGTATATCCTTTCGAGTATCGACTGGCGACCGGCCTTTATGAACGACTTTTGAATACCCGGCTTAATCAGGTGACGCACGAAGGTAGAGAAAGATCGATGAATCCAAAAAGCAAAAAGTTGATAGTATTCGGTTTAAAGACCGTCAAGTTACCGTCATCATCGTGTTCACAGACAACAAGTGACGATGATCGGTAATTTGCATGTGTTTGCGGGCGATCGCCCAATGCGCAAAGAATCACGAGAATTGTAAGATCAAGGTACATCGAGCTTGCTTCCAGCTCCGTTCTTTCCATTCAGGCTCGTCGCATTCATCCGGCGCGGCGGCAACAGCAGCCGGTACGCACGCATACCTGTACACGCACACACACACACATACACCTACATATATATGCGAATAGTTGGGAGAAGAAAGCGTCCGGTTCATGTTTTGTCCTTTAACGTGTGTTGTTTTCTTCGGGATATCCGGTTTCAGAAGAAGAAAACATATAGTGGATACTATATAGTGATCGCCAATGCACTCTTCCTGATTCCGAGGTGGACCAGCTGAAGATAAGAACGAGAAGGCACTACGAGATGACGTGATACGCCAATGGAAGAGGAATGCCGGCGTATTAACGCGGATCCGTTCCTCTTCCCTTGATAACGGAGGTCGTCGTCGCGTGTCACGGGATGCGACCCGGACACCGGGACGTCTTCTGGACGGATTCGAAGGGCTGACCAGATTTCTCGACCAGGCTATCCTGACGGTCACAGTCGACTCACATTTCTCTATATTTCTTCGTAAGTAGAACGTAGAAGTAGTCAGTGGCTATGGGACGATTCGACTTGTATGTTTTGAAATCCGGATTGATTCGATGCCGAGAAGTAATATTCCGTTGGAGAGTAACACTATTAAAGTTTTTATTTCATATGGCTGTAAAGCGCTTGATATAACGGTACTAAAATCCGCTAGTAGGTATCGAGATTTAGTTTGATAGGTAGGAATATTACTTTTTAATGTATTCATAAAAGTTTCAAGTTTTGTTAATATATCATTCACGATATATACTATTAAGTTTCTTAATATATCATTCACGATATATACTCGATCCCAACCTTTCGCGGTTCACGTTTTCTCAGGTCTGCTCTCAACGAGTCACCAAAGTCTTGAGAAAATTAATTTAAAAAACTCTCTCTCTTCAAGAGAAGAGATACAAACTTATGTAACGCTGAGCACATTTAAATGTAAATATAAACATAAAGTTAGTCTAAACAAGAATTTGAGAAATGTGACACGATCTATTTAACACCAAAGAATTATTCACGTTGTGACTAATAGCCATAAGATTGGCGAAAATTTCATGACGTAATTAAGTATCGATCGTTCTGACAATGAACGAAGTGATTGCCTGAAGAAATTACCGTTAAAGCGATCGTGACCTCAATTTACTTTTACTGGATTCTGTATATAGATCCATGCTTCTGTGAATATTCCGAAATAATTTGGTCGAATTTGTGTTTCAAATATAAAAATAAAAAAAATCATATTTTTGTTTCGCTTAACCACTTATTTATTAAAAGTTAAGATGCGTATACGATCACGCGAAGGACATCGATTGTTCTTCGTTTTTTCTCTCAGAGAAATCAGCAACTGTATGTATGGTATGTACACGCATCGTGTGTGTCCGTGCTGGTGCATAGAATTTCGTCGAATACCGTTGGTCGCGGCCGCACGCTACAAATTATGAAAGTGTGTGAAAGCCTAGAGAAGAGCTAAATACGCGACTCTCGTTCGATCGACGAATATCACATGATTGTACGCTTTAATGACCCAATTCGATCGGTTTTAATGACGTCAATTGAAAAAAAACGAGCCAAGGATTCAATTTCCGTTATCGACGAATAACGAGAGCGCGCGATAAATTCATACAGAGCAAATCGGCATTTTACCATTAATCGACAGATTTTATAACAAACGGCCTTGATATTTTTTTAACGAGTCATCGATAGCGAAGCGGGCTTTTATTCGTCATAATTTTATTATTCCTGACATTGCTAAAGCTTTAACCTTTTGATCATTTTTATGTTAATTCTGATTACAAAACTTGCAAAGATCGTTAATCCGTCATCAATCGAGTGATATCCAATTAGTCGTCACATTTGCTCTATTAAGATATATTTTTAATTTATGAAAGTTGAATAATTAATTCAGCTGAGTCGAAGGACAAGTGCGATCTTCGCATGGCGGATTACTGTTTTTATGCATAATTTCTGCTGGATACGAACAAAGGAAATGGGTTTATAACAATAACATATTATGAGTTATGGCGCAACCTAGATATTATCTATCAAGGAAATTATAATACACATAGCATCTGATGTTCGTAACTGAACGACGTAATACCATCGTGATATAGAATAATGCTATCGTGACTCTTTATTGTAATTGTTTATCGTCAACAACGTATGGTCATTGTTGAACATTTGATGTTACAATATTAAGAATTGCGATACACCAAATGCATATGAAGAAATATTTAGTATTTTCGTTACATACAAAATGCTGTAGACTTTATTCTTTGCTGGAGTAAATAAATTAAAAATTGCTTCTAAAAATAAATGTTTTATTATTATGCAAATTGTTATAAAATATTCTTATAGAACGGAGTTCTTAAATATAGATGTACAATGATGCAAGCGTGAAATTTTTAATGAAATCGTTTAATCAACGTTTGCAACATTAGGGCTCCTTTTTCTTTTTAAATAGCTTTATTAGTACGTTCAGTATTTACTGTATGATGCAACATGAAAGGTCACTGTCACCTTTTAATTCATAAAGGCTAACTAGTTTGACTTACTAGGATTTATTCAAAGACATGTAATTATAATTAAGATTGTATTAGCTTCTTGAAGCTAAGAATAGACAGATGCGACGATTGATAAATGCTCGATATATCGTAATCATATATTATGTACTTGTTCCAATCATTTTCAGGAGATGATAACGTGTAATCTTTACTCGTAGAGAAAATGACGTGTATAAAGACCAATATGCACGACTAAGCTTGACCCTCGGCTCTCGTCTTGGTAACGGTTGTACGATCCAAGTATCACAACCTGACATCCCCGATAAAGTCGGTCGTAGCGCAACAGGCGCATCACGTAATGTTGCACACATTGCATCTCCGCGTACTAACATAATTCGACGTACCCACGAAGAGTAACACGACCAAATATCTATACGAAATCTAAAATTAAAAATTAATTTTTTATTTTTAAAACTGCCGGCAACAATATCTTGGAAAGTCCTCTTAAAGATGTCACGATTTATGATAAATTTTATATCTTATGATTTTTTAGAATTGTGTGTAGTGTGACATGATTCAGATGATCTAAATATTGATAATGATATTGCACGAAAATCCAAATATGTTTATATAAATCTTAATTAACATTAGGAAAATAAATAAAAATAAACTAATATATTCGCATGTGAAAGTATAGCATTTTCACCGGGAAAAGACAGTTGTTAAGAGATAATTTGAATCTCACTCGTGTAGTAAATAGGAAAAAATGATCGCTCGATCGCCGTCTGTCTCAGTCTAAGACTCGCGTCTTTCGTCGCAAATGATCGGATAAAAGCCGAGTGGCACCCATGTCGGTCGAATCAAGATTGCATCCACACGAGAGAAGGATCGTGTGCAGTTATCCCTCGACAAGATGATGACGTGCGTGCGGCCGGCAATTTAAAGTGCCATTTGCTTCCTGTGATAGGGAACAACGGCCTCGTTTCGACATTCAATGCATTGCCGTTAAGTATTTACGTATAACTGCTTTAATTGTCACGACATAATACAATAAGTAATTTATCAAATTACGCGTTTTATACTAAAGTGATACAGTTGATTAAAAGCAAAGAAAAAGAAAAAAGGAACAAAAATAATACACTTTAAGAATGGCGAATCTTACCGGAGCATGACGTCCTTCAAGGTGCTGAAGGGGATCCTAAAGACGTCTGTTTTACCGATTAAGTAGGACTTACATATATCGATTTACATCACTATCTACTATATTACATCAATATTTTGTGCACATATATATGTATATATATATATATATAAATTTTCATAACGTTTTAATTAGACTTCTAAGTCCAATTTTAAGAACTTTACGTTGTTTCTCCATGCAATCTACTAGTCTGTGGATTACTTATTTCATAAGTACAGATTGCATAACTTTTATATCAAGCAAATGTTGTCATGATGTGACAGCCCTCTAAAGTCATATTGCGCTAAGAAATGGTAAAGATTTCAATTTCGCAATTTTTTGTCAACATAACTTCACCTTACTTTAATCCTGGAAAAGAATTTCCGAGTCTGTAAAGAGGAAAAAAGTAATTATCATACAAAAATTAAATATTTAATCACTAAAATAGACGTTTTTAGGATCCTTTTAAGGCATATTTTACAAACTTTTAGAAGTTGAAAAAATAGCAAATTGGAAACGCGTAAGGGGTAAAAATACATGACACAGAGAAAAGAAACGCAATGCAAGTAAATACGCATAAATATCAACGTAATTTATGTTTTAAATTAAATTCTTAAAAATACAATTGATTAAATGTTTTCTAGTTTTTTAAGAAATATTAATATATTAATCTATTTTTCTAATTCCTTATATCAAAGATATAATTCAATGTATAATGTAGAACATTCTATAAGTTATCATTCTATAAGTTACATCCGTAACTATCTTAGATTGCTCGATAAATGAAGGAAACCAAAAATAAATCAAGCCTACTATAGAATAAAAGGACTTCGAACGCAAATTTTACGATCATACTTGTACGTGTAAGCCTTAAATGTTGCAGAAAAAGGATTGAATTATTTATTTTTAAACTATACAAATATATAATGACAAAATTAGACATGTATGAATTTTGCAAAATAATAAGTAAATTATTCTATAAGTAATTATTTGTTTTGAAATCTGGTACAGAATGGGTGCGTTCAGGAAGCTCACTACCAGTGCTACACGTAGCACTACCGCTGTTCAAGGAGCTAACTGATAGCACTATGAAACACTATCGTGATGTTTTGTTGGTAGTGTTTGACGTCATGACTCGCGCTACAAATAGTACAAATGCTATCGTCAAAGAGGTAGTGTGTTGATATCGTAGCGTTCGAATGCTCCATGAACAGCGGTACTTCTAGTGAATACTGGAGTGAAAAAATTATTGGCTGCGACCTTTGAAATTAATATCGCAATAGTAATTAGCTTTCAAAATGGATTACATGGAAATTGAATTGCGTGATGAAGAGTTGCAGGAAACTTATACACTAAAATTAAATTCAACGGATGTCACTAAAGCCGAAAATGGTAAGGTTATAGTTGTCCAATATTTTGGTAATTATAAGTTTAGCTTAAAAATCAATAAAATTAAGCTTGTTCGACGCGTTTTTGCATTAACGAAAGAATCTAGCAGATAAAAAAGTCTCTCTGCCCCACGAATCGAAGTATTAATCATTAAAGTTCACAACTATATTCACTCAGGGCAAACGCTACAGACTTATACTGTTCACAGAGCCTAGCGCTATCTTGGCTCCGTGAACAGATATGGTAGCGTTAGCATTGGTAGTGCGGTAGTGAGCTCCCTGAACGCACCCAATGCATCTAAACAACTATATACAAGAATATTCATACAATTAAAGTAAAAGCATCTTGAGTATATTAACGTTATTCGAACATTACAGACGTATATAGATATGCGCGTTTAGTCGTCATTAAATGATACCGATGTA